AGTGCCGCTGAGTTCACTCCCCGGTCTAGCAGTCTATCAGGCTTTGGGAGGAGGGCTGACCAGGAGGCTGAGGGAGCAGGAGGAGATGTAGGCGGGCACCTGTGTTTCGGCTTCCCTGGGAAAGAGTAGGCAAGGCGAGGTGAGCAGGGTTGGGATTGGCCAGTGTGAACACCTTCCGTGGGACTGGGAACGTAGGGGCTGTCTGCAGTTCTCTGGTACCCTCCTGGGTGATTAGGGAGCTCGGTGGCTGGTTTGCAGATCAAAGGCAAAGGCAAGCCCTTTGCTACCTCTCAGAACTGGCTAAAGCCAGGAGAAGGTCCATGCAGGTTCAGCCAGGAAGCCCTAAGGTGCCTAAGCATTAGAATTACAGAAAATGAAAATGCCCAGGTAACACACAGTGGTGCAGAGGCAAGGATAGCTAGGTCTGTTGAGGCTTCCTGCCTAGTTCTTATATGAAGCAGAGTTTGATGGCGAGCTTCGGGAATCTTCCCTGGACAACCTCTGAATCGGGTGGTTTTGGGATATTAAGGGCCACTTTTGCTACAGAATTGAGAGATCTTTCTCCCACGCCTATTCTGGGCAAAAGGATCTGTGGAGCCTCCCCTCAGTGTTTGGATGGAGCCCACTGACTCACTGGTGTGTGAAAGCAAATCAGAATTTGTTTGCCCTGTCACTCTCTGGGACTTCTCATCGGTTAGCTTCGAATTTGGGGCTGGGTGTCCCTGGAAGTCACCTCTACCTGTTTGCTGGCTTCTGTTTCTGTTTCGAGGCTTCAGTGGCCACAGTGCATCATAAGCCGTGATGCTGCTGGGAATTCGGTTATTTTCTTAAGATCAGGGAGCTGCATCAGCTCCTGGCCATGATGATACTTGTTCTCTCAGAACCAAATTCCTGATTTTTACATTTTGGTTCAACTGATTGACTAAGGTGTTAGGGGTTTAAAAATGGCTTTTTAAGGAATTTACCTGTATTTCTAATCCTTTTATTTTAATGTCAGCTTATTAGCTCTCTGTGGCCTAAAGCTCATTACTTTCTTAATGGTCTGCTTAGATGTGCTCTTTTTATATCTTCAATCAATACTTTTGCCATTTGGGGTACTCTTCCCACCCCGTTTTAACAGCTTTATTGAGATGTCATTTTCCTACCATCATTTAACCCCACGTCGGTGTACAACTCCACGACTGGAGTCTATTTAAAGAGGTGTGCAGGGCTGGGCTTGTAGCTGGGTGGTGGAGTGCTTGCCTAGCATGTGTAAGGCCCTGGGTTCAATCCCCAATAGTGAAAAATAAAATTAAATTAAAAAAACTAAAGAACGGTGCCACTATCACTACAATCCCAGTTTTAAAACCAAAACATTTACACCCAAGCATGTCCATGGGTGGTCATTCAGATCCTACCCTGCCCTGGCTTTAATAAGTGAATACTAGTATAGTGATCCTCAGATTTTAAAGAAGCTTTTCTTGTTTACTGACTTTTATATAAAATTAGTACCTGCTTGCATATTCTTGCCAAGCCCAACAATGCAGAGTTTGGCTTTTTTTTTAAGGGTTATGCACGTTTTTTTCCTGTTCATTACCTCGCAAAGACCGCACACTTCACAAGTGGCCAACCCACCACCAAGCCCCTACTCGTGACCTGACTTACCTTGTGGCTGCTCTCCTTTGGGCAGGTGGGGTGCACGTCACACCTGTCTCCCCCAGGCCTTCCTCCTCTTGTCCTTAGCTTTTTATAGTTTTGACTCATCTTTTCCTTCTTGGCTCTACCCAAAGCCAGATTACTTGGGGGAGAGAGTTGAACCGTAGCTTTGGTTGGTGAAAAGCAAACCTTTCTTTCTTTTCCTGTCTACAGTAACCGAGCTTGCACACCCTGTTATGGCTCAGGAGTAAACCAGGTCAAGTGGCCCGAGGTGTCCCTCTGCGCCAGGCAGCCCACTTAACTGTCACTTTCTGGAGCGGTGGTGAACTTGACCTTGGTTAAACCTAGCACTCACTTTGGAAGGGCAGCTGAAGTACAATTAAGAGAGAGGCATCGTGCATACCTTACTAAAAGAAATAGCCAGAAAACAGGGCTTTAGAAGGAGCAAGGGGCTAAGAATAAAGTAATTGTCATTTTCTGGGATATTCAACCCCAAGTAAATTATTAATAAAGTCACCTTTCCTTGTCAGAGCTGACTGTTCTCACGCTCATTCTACTGGGGGAAAGGAAGACAGACTGGGTTTTTTGTTTTGTTCTATTTTTGATCTCTGGTCTCTGCTATATGATTCCAAACAGCTTGATATTTCTGGACCTCAGGTACCTCATCTGTGGAATGCAAATGATGATTTTTCACAGGATCGTGGGGAGGATTGTCTTAAACAACATAACTTTCCACCCTTCTCAAACGATGGACAAGTTCCCTGTGGGAACAGGGTTCTATATCACAAAATGGAAAAAGCCTTAGGATCAATAAGCCACCTCTTTTCAGAATGTTGATTTAATTTGAAAATTGATGGGGAGCACATTTTCTCATTTACATTAGAATGCATATATTATAAGGGGTCCACTTAATATTTTGTTTTTCTTTGGGTGCTGGGGATAGAACCCAGAGCCTCGCCCATACTGGGCAAATGTTTTACCACTTGAGCCACACTCCCAACGCATCTATCTTAATGTTGAAAGAAAAACTCAGTGCAAACAGCAAGTTCAGGGCAGAAGACTTCACGTCATACCTTTGGAATCCCTGACACTCCTTCTTTGTAATGAAGAGTGTTTTCCTTGGAGATTTTGAGCAGTGCTGCCCTGTGACAGTCCAGGCCACATGCACAGTCTCCCGTCACTGCTTCTGGTTTCATGAAGTTTCCAACTGCACTTCCTTTGCACCTACTTGATGCTTCCTCTGGACCCGGCTGACCCTGGAGTTCACCATCCGCCCTCCAAACCCAGTTCTCATCTCGTACATCCTGCCTTAGTGATTGACAGCACCTTCCATTCAGTTGTGCAAGATGGGAAGGAACCAAGTTGTCCTTGACCCTTCTTTTCTGCACGTGCCTTGTCCGCTCCTTGGCTTGAGGTCAGGTCAACATTGCCACCTCTTGACCACATCGTTTGTCTCTGTCACCCACATCTTAGCCCAAGCTGCCGTCCTGCCCTGCCTTGACATCTGGAATCATTTAGTCACTGGTTTCTACCAATCTGTTCTCCACATTGAAGTGAATGTTTGTCTTTCAAATGCTCCCATCTGACTGTTTCTTCCCATTTCTCTGGGAAGAGCATGGTGCCTGGTGCAGGCCCCGCATGGCCAGCCCTCCCCTCTGGCCTCAGCTCCAACATTCTCCACTGGGTGCTGGTGGCTGCAGCCAGGAAACCTTCTTTCTGTCCTTCCATGGTACCTCGATTCACCCACTGGTTCCAGCCTGCTCTCTCCGGAGCTCCCGTCAGCCCTACCGATTGCTCTTTGCTGAGATAAGATACTTTCCTCTTTCAAATCTCAGCTCAAGGATCTCCTTCCTAAAAGCCCCTGACACCCCAACAAGGGACATTAGCTGAGGACTTATTTCAATTTTTAAATCCCAGCAATCCTCAGCCTGACTATGCCTAAGAATAACCCGGAGAGCTTATTCTCACAATCCAGGTGTTCCCATCTCACCCAGGACCTGTAAAATTGAAATTGTTTTCCCAGACCAGCAAGTGACTCAACTGAGGTCCCATAGCTCGTAGGTGACACAAATAGAATCACAGCCCTGGATTCCCTCCTCGATTTCTAGTTCTTAGTCATATTCTTTGGATTCAGTTCTGTTGAGGTGCACACGTGTATGTCTATTTAATCTGTATATGAATATGCATAAAAAGTTTCCCTACTTTTTAAAAAAAATCTTTTCCCCTGAATACCTATGCCTCCAGAGGGTGACAAAGAGCCTCGGGTGATAAAGAGCCTCGAGGCGACAAAGCCACTGATAACCTGTCATCACCCCATGCACAGTGTTTACCAGAGGCTGGGCCTGGGGCAGCTACTGTCCTCTGTAGGATGGGCCAGAGCCTCCTGCAAGCCCTTTGAGCTGTCCCTCACTCCTCCATGCCTGGGGTCCTCTGCCACTCAAGTGTCCTCCATCTGCCCACTGCTCTTGCCTCCCCCAGCCCCACCTGCTGAGCATCTGGCTCAGGTGTGTGGCTGGAGACACATCTGGAGCCAACAGAGTCTATTCCCCATTGAGCTGCTCCCACACTAGAGCCTGAGAGAGGCGGGTGTGGGGCTCCTACCATAGAGGTCACCTGCTGCCTCACAGATAATCAATCCACCAGGGACCCTGGGATGCCAATGCCGAGCGTTTGCGGAGATAGTTTCAAACTTACTATTTCTTAGTAATGGGAGTCAGTGAATCCGGATCTGTGAAGTCCAGCCAGAGAGATCCCCACACTCCAGGGAGGGCCTTGGACTTCAAGGTGGAGTCCAGACAAGAGGTCCCATGTCTGGCGTGGAGTCCTGGTCCCTCTGCTCAGTGGCATTGTGACTGGTGCAGCCTCGAGCTTCTCCATGCCACAGCTTCCTCACCGTACACCAGGGTTAACTCAAATTCAATAAAATGCCTATTTTATACGTAATGTAGAGATTGGGAGGTTTAGACAAATAATCTGATTAAGAGGCTTATCAGCCAGGTGCACGCCTATGATCCCAGCACTCAGGAGGCTGAGGCAGGAGAATCACAAGTTCAAAGCCAGCCTCAGCAAAAGCGAGGCGCTAAGCAACTTGGTGAGACCCTGTCTCTAAATAAAATACAAAATAGGGCTGGGGATGTGGCTCCGTGGCCGAGTGCCCCTGAGTTCAATCCCTGGTACTCTCCAAAAAAAAATAAACAAATAAAGGCTTATCATCCTGGCAAATGATGGTTAGCTTCCACGAGGGAAGCAGAGTGTACAGAAGCTCTCCATGCATCACAGGGCAGTTCCAATCAGCATTGACCCTTGGAAAGACGTGGTGCCCTTGTTCCCTACTCACCCTGCTTCTCTCTCTCTCTTGCTTGTAGCCCTGGAAAGGAAGATATCCATGAGGCAAAGCAGAGAGGAGCTGATAAAGCGAGGGGTCTTGAAGGAGATCTACGATAAAGGTAAGAGCCCCCATCCTCTGCCCATGGGCCCGAGAGCCGTGTGTGGACCTGGGCACATTTCTGACATTGCACTGAATTTTCTGCATCAATTTATCAAGTGATTGGAAGATTTGAATCCTTGACCTCCAGACTACTGTGGGGAGAAAAGACAATGGAGACACCAAATATATGGATATTATATGATGGGGGGAGAAAAGCCCCCACTTTTCCCATTTAGGAATCAAACCACGGGATGCTAAGAAAGGTGCGCTTCCAGAAATGATGTCAGTCCAGGCTGTGGGTCCAGCCGTGCGAGAGTTCACACAGCCAGGGCGAGTTTAATTGCTTGCGCTCTCACAGGCAGTGGGGCTTCTCAAGTAGCTGTTTAAAACCCACAGGCTTCTCGGAGGGAACAGGGGTTGTTCTCCCATCCCACCCCTGCAGTCTGTCTCCCAGCCATAGAAAAAATAAAGTGGGGAGGCTGAGGCAGGAGGAGCCAGAGTTCAAAGCCAGCCTCCGCAAAACACTGAGGCGCTAAGCAACTCAGTGAGACCCTAAATAAAATACAAAATAGAACTGGGGATGTGGCTCAGCCTAGTGCCCCTGAGTTCAATCCCTGGTTCAATCCTATATATTCAAAATAGGGCTGGGGTATGGCTCAGGGATCGAGTGCCCCTGAGTTCATCCCCCACCCTGCGCAAATGACGGTACACACAAGATATCTTAAATGATAATATTTACAGAGATTTGAAATGCTCTGTGAACATGTCCCCAAGTGTTCTCCAGGGGCCATTGCATCTTTTGTTTACTGAATTGTTCTCCTCAAATACGAAGCTCGGCAGTGATTTCCATGTTATGTTGAGTAACATTCACTCCTCTGTTCTAAGATCTTTGCTGTTTTAAATTGCACTTGTGTGGGTCTCCTCTCTCTCCCTCCCTCCCTCGCTCTCTCTCCTTCCCTCCATCTTCTGTCTTCTCTTTCTCTGACTCTGAGGAATACATTCTCCTCTTTGAGCTTTAAGTGGACTAACAGACTGTCACTTCTGATCTTGTCACAGTCAGGTCCTCTTCCTGTTCCACCCTGGTGTTATCTGGCGGACCAGGTGATTCAATATTCTATTTAAACATTCATCCTGATGGCCCAGGCACCCTGGCAGTTCTGACGCTGCAGTTTACCATGTTTCTGTCGGGTTCTTGATGCCCAATTTCGTCCTAACACACAAAGGGAGGCTGCTCCCAGGTCCTGGTGTGGCTCTGATTCTGCTTTTCTGGGACCATCTGACCCCCATGGTGCATCTCACCTCACCGGTTACTTCCTAGAGGTGCTTTTGAAATATTCTCTTTAAGCACAAATTGCCAGCCTGAAACACAGCGCCGCCCTAGTGGCGAGGGATACTGAGGTAGGATGTGGAGCTGTCCTATCCTGATCTACATCCCATAATTATTGGCACCTTATAGTGTGCTCTTTTAAGGTCCTCAGGGAATAGTCCAAGAAGGGCAATAGCTGGGTCAAATGGTGGATCCATTCCCAGCTTTCCCAGGAATCTCCATACTGCTTTCCAAATTGGCCTCACCATTTTGCAGTCCCACCAGCAGTGAACAAGTGTGCCCTTTTCCCCACATCCTCGCCAACACTTATTGTTGTTTGACTTCATAATGGCTGCCAATCTTACAGGAGTGAAATGGTATCTTAGGGTGGTTTTGATTTGCATTTCTCTGATTGCTAGAGATGTTGAGCATTTTCTCATGTGCTTGTGGATTGATTGTATGTCCTCCTCTGAGAAGTGTCTGTTCAGGTCCTTGGCCCATTTGTTGATTGGATTATTTGTTATCTTATTGTTTAATTTTTTGAGTTCTTTGTACATTCTGGATATTAGGGCCACATCAATGATTATAGCAGCACAATTCACAATAGCTAGACTGTGGAACCAACCTAGATGCCCTTCAATAGATGAGTGGATAAAAAAATTGTGGCAGCTATACACAATGGAGTATTATGCAGCACTAAGAAACGACAAAATCATAGAATTTGCAGGGAAATGGATGGCATTAGAGCAGATTATGCTAAGTGAAGCTAGCCAAGCCCTAAAAAACAAATGTCAAATGTCTTCTTTGATATAAAGAGAGCCACTAAGAATAGAACAGGAAGGAAGAGCATGAGGAAAAGACTAACAGTAAACTAAGACGAATGGGGGGAGAGAAAGGAAGAGAGAAGGGAAAACATATGGAAATGGTAGGAGACCTTCAGTGATACACAAAATAATAAGAGGTTATGAGGGGCAAGGGGGTGGGGGGAAAAAAGGGGAGAGAATTGAACAACAGCAGAGGAGGTAGAGAGGGATGTTGGGAGGGGAGGGGAGGGGAGGGGGGATAGTAGGGGATAGGAAAGGTAGCAGAATACAACAGTCACTAATATGCCATTATGTAAAAATGTGAGTATGTAACAGAAGTGAGTCTGTATTATGTATTTGGGGAGTTCAAAACCCAATTGAGTCGAATGTATGAAAGATGATATGTCTTGAGCTCTGTAATGTTTTGAACAACCAATAAAAAAAAAATAATTATTGGCACCTCCTGAGCTCATGAGTCCCTGTGATGAGCCCCTCTGTCCTTTATGTCTGGGGAATCCCACAGCAGAAGACGACGTCTTCTCTGGTTGATTGGGCTCTCGGCAGGAAGAACCCATCATTCCATGACTTCCTCTGCAACGTCCTGCCTTCTGTCCCTTCTCCCAGCCCTCCTTCCCTGCAGTGACCTTCTTCTCCACACTTCCCCATAAGCTCCTTTCTCTGTGTCTGCACCTCAGGAGAGAAGGAAGATGTTGACTGCAGGTCTAATGTTCTCTAGTAAGCACCCAAGTGTTTAAAAAAAAAAACCTGTCAGGGTTCTATGAAACAGTCCTTCCTGCTCCCTCCCCCCTTCCTGCAGCTGTGGAGTCTCTGCAAATCCTCAGGCAGCCCCAAAGCAAAGACCACCTTTTACTCTACATTTATTATTTTCATTGCATCTAATAACTGGGTTCAGGTGAGTATCTCCCAGGAGGCTTCCCGACTTAACCAAGGAAATCCCAGGTTGTTGGAGTCAAAGCCACCGTTGGTAAGGAAAGGATTCGAGGGCTGGGGTGGCTGGGACTTACCAAGGCCACACCAGCAGTCAGATCCCTGAGGGTGACAGGTGCCTTGCTCTGCGTTTCTCCATCAGCAGGCACAGAGCTGGCCCCCGACCTGTGCTCCCTTAGTGGCTCTGGAGGAAAGGACCAGTCTGTCCCCCTCTGTCACCCGGCACTGCAGCTTCCTGTTTTATTTTTATCTTAGCACTTAGCCTGTCAGCCCATTTCTGTTTGTTGAGTGACTTTCTGCACTAGCCCTTAAGCCGCAGGGGAGCAGGGTCTCAGAGGGTCACAGCTGGATCCCCCAACTACGAATAATGTTGGACAGGAATCAGACTCTTCAAAAAGATTTACAGTCTGGACGATGGAAAAGGAGAGGAAGAGAAGGACTAAAATCAAGACTCCACAGGTTGTGTTTGCACTGTGGAGCTTAATCTCCTTACCTTACTCTGTGACATTGTCAGGTAAGGAGCCCAAGCCTGGGAATCTGACTGCTAGGGTTCCAGTCCAGTCTTACCAAGTAGCTGTGCAATTTTAGTCAGTTTGCTTCTCTGTGCTTCTGCTTCTTTATCTCAAAGTGGGGATCATATTGTGGTGATGAGGATTACATGAGACGATCCCTGCCACCTTCAAGACCCGTTCTCAAGAAATGTTGACCTGCCATCACTATTATTAGTCTCATTGTCGTCATCATCATCCTTTATATTTTTCACACAGTTGAAAAGGGCGCCTCACCTTAGGTGATCTTATCAACAGGCCCAAGAAATCAATATTAGGAAGGGTGGACATCACTGCCCTCTTTTGTCTCGAGGTAAAAAGACCTACCCTGGAAATGGTGTTAGGGGTCTGTCAGTGAGGACCCTGCCTCCGCCTTCAGCAGCCTCCTTCAGCTCCCCTGCACCTCCCGGCCTCCCTCTTGGCCTCCACATGAGCCATTTTCCTCCCTTGCCTTCCCTCCTCTCTGCAACATCCTTCCCCTCGCCGTATCTGAAGTTCTGGTGGGTAAAGGAAATAAGATCTCATTGCCACAATCCGATGGGCGGCAGGCGGCAGAGGAATTTCCCTGTGCTTTGCAGGTGGTTAGTCTCAAAGGGGAATTTCATAGACAGGGGGCAGCCCTTACCGGTGGCCTGGCTGGTCGTCCCTAACTTCACTGGCAGTGCCTCCTGCTGTCAGCCTGCAGCACTTGAGCTGGTTACCTGGCACAAGGCCGTTTCCATCAGAGGTCCACAGACCCTGACCACTGCCTGCTGCCGGGTAGCTGCAGGGTCAGCCCGTGGCCAGGACACAGCCCTCTGGGTCTGGCCTCTGCCTTATACTGTGCATACCCTTGTGGGGGTGTATGTTAGTGCTACTGTGGCAGAGAACAGTTTATTCTCTTTATTTAGCAGGAAAGATTTTCTTTTCCAACCTGCTTTGCGTTTTTTATTTTTCTTAATAACACCCCACTCATTCAAGAAAGTCCAAAAGAAGGCTCCTGTAGTGATCTGCAAGTCCCAGTGGTTGGCAAGAGTGGACTCCAATGGATAAAGGGTTGTCACTCTTTGTATTTCTTTGTATTGTTGAAATCCCAAATATTCGATGAATTCAGATCAAGGAAAATGAGAACTTGGATCTAGAAGAAAAAAATTCAAATGTCTCCAGAAATTCCTTATTTAATAGGCTCTGAAGTAAAAAGCATAGTCATTGAATGACTTGTATTTTTTTATTGGTTTTCATGTAGAATCACATAATCTTCGAATACAGAAGAGCTTTAGATAAAAGTTTAAAAACCAGAGTAATTTGTTGGATCTCTAGAATGTATCTAAACCATGTAAGAATGCAGTGAAGTTTGAAGACAACATATTGGGGGAATGTTAGAATTTTATTAGTTGCAGTGGTAGTGAGGATGTAAAACGGTTAAGTTCTTTTT